TTGCAACTTATATCAGAGCTCATGTCTGGCACAAAGAATTATCTTCTAAATTATTCATTCTGTAAACTTTTTTTTAATTAATTGTATTTGCTTCAACATGTTTTGAAGGGTGCAGATGCCTATAACAACTGCTTGCTGCCCTTGAACTCTGAATGAACACTTTCCTGCAATCCCTTTCCTTAAATAGAATCATAAAATATTAGAGAAGATTCCTTAGAGATCAGTTAGAACTGTGGTTCTCAACCTTTGTTGTGCATTAGAAACTCAGAGGAGCTTTTAAAAAATACAGAGGCCAAGGCCCCCAACCCCAACCAATTAAATCAGAATCTCATGCAGGAGGGGTGTGAGTATTTTTTATAAGCTCCACAGGTGGTTTCATTGGGCCTCCAGGATTAAGGACCATGATACAGACTGGCATTGTCCAGTGCGGTAGTCGCTGGCCACACGTGGTTATTGAGCACTTGAAACATAGCTAGTCCAAATCAAGATATGCTGTACTAGTGAAATGCCCACTGGATTTCAAAGGTTTAGTACCCCACCCACAAAAGAATACAAAGTATCTCATTAACATTTTTATGGAAATGACAATATTTTGGATATACTGGGTAAACAAAATCAAAATATGTTATAAAAGGAAACATTGTCCCCTGCTTTTTTTTACTGCTTTTTTTTTTTTTTTTTTCAGGTACCGGGGATTGAATTCAGGGACACTGACCACTGAGCCACATCCCCAGTCCTATCTTGTATTTTATTTAGTGACAGCATCTCACTGAGTTGCTTAGTGCCTCGCTGTTGCTGAGGCAGGCTTTGAACTCCTGATCCTCCTGCCTCAGCCTCCTGAGCTGCTGGGATTACAAGTATGCACCACGGTGCCAGCATCTTTTTACTTTTTTAATATGACTACTTCATTGAACGTTACGTATATTGGTCCCACTATTGGACTTCCAGTCACCTTTCATTGCTAATAAGGTAAGTGAGGCAGAGGAGCTCAATTAGTTCAAGCAGCACTTAGGGGTTCCCCTTTCCACCAAGGCTTTGCCTGTTGCCATAAAGCACATCACTGCAGGGCCACCAATCGCAGTGGGAGTTATAATGCCATAAATTGGACTTTAAACTGTCTCTCTGTTGTCTCACTAATTATTTCTTCTAAGATGCAATATCACAATAGATTCCCCTTATGAAAAAATAGCACCTCTCTGTTGTCCACACATTTGTTATCTGTTATTGTGGGGCTACCCCTGAAAGCAGAGCAGCTAGAACAGATGTTTAAAAGCAAATGTAGAAACATGAGCATAAGGAAAATGCAGAAAATGGATGAAGAGAACATTTAACATGTTGTAGTTGGGAAAACAACCCCGGAGGCCCTCAGCACTCTGAGAGCCATCTTCAACTCACCATGATTCCCTGCTTAGAATTTAGAAGCTTGAGCCTTCAAAATATTGTTTTTCCTCCCAAGAGTCAATGTTTTTCTGGACAATGTTGTCTTTGCAGTGAGGCAAATCAGGCTCTTCACTTAGGTCCCCTGGTGAAAATGGACTTTCTCCTCACTGCCTGTGTCCTCTGGGGCATGGATTAGTACCTAGTCATTAGAAACCAAACTGACTTAAAGAGGAAAATCTTGTCTTGATAAAATTCAATGGTCCTATCAAATCTGGCAAATGGAGATTAAATGCATTTCTTCTATAATCACTTAATTCAAACAAAAACTTAGATTTTTGTTGTTGTTGTTGTTGTTTATGATTTTCCCACTAAGGAAGCCAGCAGAGGATAAAACTAGCTGAAATGGGTTATATTCAAGAAATCATGCCTGTAAAATAGGGGCTCCTATTTTAATAAATAAAAGAATAAAAGAGTCCTGAATTCTGATAGTAAACGTTCATGCAAAAGCTGGAAAAGAAACCTGTGGGTGAGGCCAAACTACACAACTAGTAGATGCATTCAAGATTTCTACTGAGTCGTGTTTGCTACCCATCCTAAATACAGCATCATAAATAAAACATCATCCTAAATAAAATATTTGTGCTCTGGAGTCCTCTGGGTTGCATGCATGATTTCTATTAGTTATGAGAAGTCAAGTTTTGCCAGTCAGACCTCAAAGAGCACGCTGCCAGATGCAACTCACTTCTCACAGAGTGATGTTCACCTCCACGCGCTTCAAAACTGACCTGAAAAGATAATATATTCAGACAGGTCCTGGGCAAAAGTGCATCTGCTAGAGTGAACATAGAACCTGTTGCTCTATTCGACAAAAAGAAAGATGATTTATACGAACTTGAAATAATTTCAGCTCCCTTCCTGAAAAATGATAAAACACTGAAAGTAAAAGAAAGTGACGGTTTCATTCAGAGATGGTCTTTTAGACCATTTTTAGGTTTTCCCAGTGTTGACTCTCAAATGAAATCTGGATGGCATAGTTTTATAGGGTGTGTCTAGTAATAATGAGAAGGATTTAAATTAAAATCAACGAGGCAGGCCAATATTAGAAAAATTAACACTGCCGTTATGTATAAGAATAAATGGAATAGAAACTACAACTATAGTTCATGTGGCCAAGGCAGCCATTCAAAAGATCTGATAAAAATTTTGTCTTTGAAATGTTAATGGCAAAAGGCTTGAAAAGAGCAAAGCATCCAAATTTGTGGCTTATGTATTCCCTGTCAAAGGCATTTATGACAACCTGGCTTGTGGAAACAGGACCCTGCCTGGTGAAGGGCACTGGGGCCTCATTTGGCACTCTCTGCTCTGGACCTTGGATAACCTAGGAGATGTTACCAGATCTTGGGCTCTCCTTTGTTCAACAAAGAGTTCTGCTCAGAGGATCTCCCCTAAATCCAGATCCCCTAAATCTGCATGCAGACACAAGCTTTCTGTCAGACTCTCCATGCCAAAAGGAGTTCTTCACTCTTTTTAAGACCAGCTCAAATCAAATCCAACATGACAGTTTTCCATCTGTGCTAATTTTAGGATAGAGATTAGAAATGAGAAACTTAAGGAAATAGAAAAAAAAAGTAACTGAAATATGTATTGTGTTTGTTTCTGTGGTGCTAGGGCCTCGTGCATGCTACGTAAGTGCTCTGCCACTGAGCTACATCTCCAGCCCTGAAAAAAAATATCTAGTGTCCAAGTAATATCTAATTCCTTTGCAAATTTATCCTAAACTTTATGTTTTACTTTGAAAGTCCCAGAGCCATCAATAAGGGCTTCAAGAGTTTTAAACATGTTTCCAAAAGAGTGTTATCATGACTTGGTAATTTCTAAAGGGCTTCTCTCTTTTTCTCTGAATTTTCTCATGATTCCCAATGATGGAGTACTAATAGACACGCAAAAAAACAGTAATTGCCATTTTTTCCCTAATTACAAAATGTAATAATTCTTTAGTGAAAACAGGAATTATGAGGTCATTTTTAAAGTGCAAGGCTTTCTATTCAAAGCATTGCCACAACATAGATAGCTTATTTAGTTTACAAATAGCAACACAAAAAGGGTTTTTTTGGTGTCTTTAAGTCTGCCCAGCAGAGATGAAAGTGCTTCTTTCTCACCCTTAAATATTTGAAGCTGCTGCCCCTAAGTCTATTACCTTATCACAATGGTATAATTCTTTTAAAGAGAAATAGTCCTCATTTTGAATTTTTAAGCACTAATTTATAAAAGCATTGGTTGATTCCCATAATGCAGCTGATAGTCAAATTGGACAAGATAATGAATTGACTGAGATCACTGTTCCACCTTCATCCAAGAAAGCTGCCTCTAAAAAAAGATCTTAAATTGCTGTAGAAATCCAATTTGTACGAAGCAAAAGAAGCATATAGATGGGAAACACCAGCCATGATCACATTAATTCTGTGACTAACAGCACTGCTTTGAAGTGAAGAAGAAGAAAAAAAAGAAAGATGACAAAAATAATAAGTCCACTCAAATCCCAATTTTAATCTACAACGAGAAAAAAACCAACTACCAATACAAAGTGCACATTTAAGGATCCGGTTATCATCACACTCCCAAAATTTTCAGTTGACAAGGAAAACTCCAAATGCTAAGGAAATACTATAGGACAACGACACATCACTACTAAAAAGTAAATTATAGTGGGAAATCAGGAGACGGAGAACTTGACATCAGTACAAATAACTATGGAAACTCCATGGTTGATTGTTTTTGAACACGCAGGTGTGGGAAACTGACACGTAGTTATAACAAAAATATTCTACTTACTATAATTGAAAATCTATTCAGGAAAAGTCTCTCTGACAGACTGCTGCAATATCACAGAGATATAGAAATAAAGGAATGGTTTCTACTTTTTGTGGGAACGTTCTACACTATCTGCGCAGGTATAAACTATATACAGTTACAACTGACTTTGACTTGACAGGTAATTTATGGATATCAGCAATTTGCCTTAAAATTCAGTTGGCTTGGATGTTATCAGTTGAGCAAATGTGTTTACTCTGAGTGAAGTTGAAAAAGAAAAATCAACAGGAATCAGTAAGAACTTTAAAACTATCAGATCTATATAAAATGCTATGATCAAAGGAAAATAAGGGAAAAAAATTTATGGAGAGACATGGTGAGTTCTTTTTAAATTTTAAAACCAAAGTAATAGCTGACAATCAATAGCATCCTTCTTCAGGGAAGTACACATCTAGGTTTGGATGTGGGAAATGGGGTTGTTTTGTTTTGTTTCTCATTTTTATCTTTCTTTTTAAAAAGAACTCCTTCTTACTAAAATTCAAATACTTGTTGAAGTGATTCATGAAAGCTTGTAGAAAAGAGAATTCTTACCTGACACACTACTTAACATGCTTCATTGCTATTTTTACCAGAAATCGTGATTTACACACAGAGACACACATACAACACCTTCCACACAAAATGCTATAAGTCCCAGGGAACTGAGAAAAGCAACATTAAAACTCCTAAGAAATCCATTGAAAACACAAGACTGACCCCACTTAGCTAAGCACCAAGTTCTTTCTCTGCTTAATAAGCATAATTCTTACCATTATCTGGAGAATAAAATCAGCAACGTGTTGCTTCCTGCAGTCACCAAATCAATTTTTTTCTTCCTTTCTTTCTAGTAACTTCTTTCCACCAGCAAGATTAGGAAGAAAATAAATCTTTTGAGTATTTGCCTCAGTGTTTCAGACCAGAAGACTGTGAAACTAGCTCTTAGTAAAAAGAAAAAAAAAAAAAGGTCTGGTATTTTACAATCACTTCTGCAACCCAGAGGTACCTCCTAGACTCCGTACCTCCTTCCCTCCCTCGTTCTCTAAGTTTCTTTTAGTAATGAGACTAATTTTTCCAGTAGCCTTGAACTCCCTAGATTTAACTGACATGGAAAATGTGACTAAAAACTTGTAGAACTGTCTAGTCTTCAACCCTGCACAGAATCAACCCTGTGGTGTTAGGGAACACCTCACAAGCAGCTACATGCTCAGTCCACACTCCTGTGAGATCTCTGCAGCACACCACCAAATAACAGTGCGCCATCTAGTCCACAAGCTGCAAGCCCCATCCCAGAAGGGGGGACACCTTCAAACCCTGGGAGCTAAGAACTTGTCAGGGTTCAGCTGCTCTAAAGGTCCAATTGTTTATTTAAATAAAAAAAAAATATCACTACTGAGATAATCCACATCTAGTGGATATGGGAAAATTTAGGTTATAATGGCACTACAAACTTTTACATCTAACTTTGATTTACAAGATAAAAGCCAGTTTTAAATTAAAAGGGCTTTCTGTTAATAGAGCTTATTATTCTGAAGACGGGAATGATTTTCTTCGAAAGTTGTCCCTGGGTGCATGCCTATTATCTTTGCTTTTCCCCTTCCACTAATGAGCATTTATCTAAAGAGCCTGTTAATCCTCTGATGTGTGCTTCTGGTCAGAGGTAACAGTTTGAATAAAACCACTAATCACTGATCACTAAATCACTGATCATTAATCACACTCTCCAGTGCCCGTGACCTGGGCCATTTTTTCCTTTAGGTTTATGCATCACAAACAAGAAGTTTAACATTTAGATGCCCATGTATTGTGGGGGGGGGTATACTATTTCATCTCTAGATGTGAATAAATAATAAATACTGCCACAAACTTGGGGAAGGGATGTCAATTAGACCCCAGACAGGAGTTGCACAAATGCCTAGCCTACAGCATGGCTTTCCCTTTGAAGAAAGTAGATCTGATTATAACAAAACACGTTTTCTTCAAGAAATTCCCACCTATTCAGAATATAAATTTTCCTTTATTTAGCTTTCACTAGCTCCAAATCAGAGAGCACCCTAGTCCCTGGTCCCCCTCTATCCAAAAGCCTGTTAGTAAAATTTTCATTGGATTTCTGCTGCACACTTTCCACACTACCCAAAGGGTTCTTTTTACTTTTTAGCCCTTGAACAAGTCACACACAGGGTGTTTTTATTTCAACTGCCTATAGGGAGATTCTGACTCAATTCAATGACTTATGTATTTAACTTCCTCTTTAAGCATAGAAACTTTAGGTTAAGAACAAGAAAGTAACACGTGCAGCAGTTTATTGTATGGCGCTTTGAGTTCAACGACTCAACGTTCCCTCACTTTGGAAATAAAACATCTAATCTTGATTCTTTTTGCTAAACCTGACTTAGTCAGCTCCTGGCTTCTTAGTCTTCCCTCTTGGGTTAAAAGGTTCTAGGCAGGCGCTGTGTCAAGTTAAATACTTTGTTGTTGTGGGTGTGTTGCTTTCCTAAGCCACCGCAGGGACGCGGGACACAGTACTATCATAACGCTTCCAAACACTTCCTGAGATCGGGGCTGAGCATTTTCGCCCTGGAGAAGGGGGCTTGCTGGTGACTTTCTTAAATAATAGAAAAGGGCAGATTGTGCGCTGATCAGGTACTGAGGTCTCCTCAGACACCAGAAGCTCTTACCCACACTCTAGGGACAGTGTTCGCCCCAGGGAAAGCTGTAAAAGGCGGAGGCGGGTCTACAGTGATAACGATGAGGGCGGGGGAGGGGCGGAAAAGGAGGGATGGGGAATAGAGGGCAATAAAGATGCCCAGGGAATGGGCGATTGCACGAGTATATTGGGGGGTGGGAGTGAAAAGCAGAGTTGCTTTGTCAGCATTCTAAGCCCCTGAACCCTTGAGTATCTGAAGCTGTTAATCAAACACTTACTGGCCTGCAGAATGACGTAATGGACCTGTATCCAGCCTTTATTCCTTGACACATATCAGAAACAGGGAAAAATAAAAAAATTTAAAAAAATAATCAAACGCACTCTGCAGACTCTGACAACGAAATATACAAGCAGCACACTCCAATTCTCGGCCTTGAACAAGCATCATCAAGTGGGGGCGGCACTCGTTCAGGGTAAACTGGAGGCTTTATCTATCAGACACCCCCAGGAAATGAATCTAAGGCACAGAAGAAGCGGCATGCAGCCCCCGGGAGAAAACATCTCCTTAGTTCCTTCGTGTCTTGCCCCTCTAAGAACTTCGAAAAAAGTTTAAGTGTTTGGGTTGAGAGTCTGCCGCAGAGGAAGTCTTCCACCGCCGGTGCTGAGAACTGTCTGGGCGCCACCGCGAGCTGTCATTTGGGGCAGCGGCGAAGAGGTAATGATGGCAGCGAGAAAGAGGCGGATGGAGGAGTGCACGCGAGCTGACAAATAGCCTCGTCACTCTCGAGCCCGGAGCGCCTGGAGTGAAAGTCAAGTGCCCAGCGAGGCGACCTCCCCTCCCAGGGCGCGCGCGCGCCCACCAGCTGCAGCGGGCAGCCCTACCGGAGAGGTGGTAACAGCCGGCTTGGTACCGGGAGAAAGCGAGCCTCCGGCACACTTGCCCGCCCGCCCCCTAGGTGACCCGGTGTCCTTGCAGCGCCTGCTGGAAGTTTGCAAACTTTCTCCGGGGGTTCCGCCGCATCACTGCAAAGCAGGCTACGCGGGGCGAGGCTCCTGGCTGGTCGTCTTCGCTGCTGCCGCTGCCGCCGCCGCTGCCACTTGACCACACTTCTGCAGGGTTCCGCACCTTGCCAGGTCTCTGGAGGCAAACACACACCCCCGATTCATAACTGTTCCCCGTGTCAGGGAAACTCACGCGCGCTCCCACACACGCACGCACGCTGCGGCGAACACGGCGCTGGCTCCAGTTAGCATCCCTCTAGTCGCGCGGCGCAGCGTCCACCGAGACGCGCTCCCGGACGGACACGGCGTGGGGTCTCTGGGATGACCACAGGACACAGCAGAATTCCACAGTCCATCAGCAATTGCGGCCGGACTTCCCTCTGGTCCGCCAAAATGTTTACAAACACAGATCACCCTCCAAAAATATGCATCGCATCTTCCCTACTCCTTGCCCTGTGACCTGCCCATTGGACCAAGTAACCTCGCGGCTACTGCCGAGAACCAACCCCTGCAAACAAGTACACTCCCGAGATGGCTCCCGCGGCAAGTGCAACAAAAGTGCCTAAATGCAAAACCCCAGAAGTGGCCAAGCCGTATTTTTAGGAACTTACCAAACAAGTGTGGAGAAGGCAAGAGCGGAGCCCGGGTGAAGGGACCACGTTGGACTGAGCAAAGATTACAATACATTCTATTTAGAGTGCATTACATCACCCCCCCGGTGACGTCACGTGGGATTCCTGAACTTCTAAATCATTGCGGTCCGCGGGGGAGGGAGGGAGAGAGGGCGGGGCCCGGCACGCTGAGGGGGCGTGACCGCCCCGGCCCCGCCCCGGGCCCCGCCCCTGGAGCGGACTCTGGTGCACCCGCCCTGGAGCGGTGGCGGCGGCGGCGGCGTCGATCGCGCAAGCAACAGCTTGCAGAGCCCAGCGCCGTGTGACACGGCTCCCTGACATTAGTGGTGTGAGTCAGCTTGGAAACAATCCTGATGGTTTCAGACAGGACCACGGAGAAAGTGCAGACCCGGGCTCTCCCGCGGGAGGGCCTAGTAGGTTCTGAAAGGTGTAAGGATTTGGGGATCAGAACGGGGAGCTGGGAAGGGGATGCTGAAGGAAGTGGGAACAGAGTTTCTGCAAATAGAAATGCGGGACGCTCCCCATCCCCCCATCAGAAGATGTCCACCTCCTTTTGCCTGCGACAGTCATGACCTCATTGCAGTGTTCCCTGCATGCTGGCTTCTCAGAGCACTCCCTGGACACCCCTTCTTCACTGCCCCTTACCCCACCTCACCTCCAGGAGAATAACTTCCTTATAGTGCACACTCACTTGAAGCACACAGCCCCCACCCTTTCCAAGTGCCCCCCGCTTCATGCATCTGAGGGACTGTAGGGAGAGTCCTCCTGAAGGCGAAAGGTGAATCTCAGCTAGATCCCAGTGATGAGCCCGATTTAGACTCAGCGTCAGAGCCGGAAGGGTCCTTGGCGATCGCTTTCAGAGCCTCCTGGGTTACTGGCCCAAGCTCACCGGCTGGGAAGCCACAGAGCCAGGGCCAAAATGTTGGATCAGCGCGCCTGGTCTGCAGTGAGAAAGGAGCCTGGCGTTTTCAGCATTGGCCAGTCATCATCGCCATCACCATCATCATCCCAGCTTAATTTCCTTTCAAAAGTTCTCTCTGTGGGTAGTATTCAAGGGAAAGGCATAGGTTAATTTCCAGCCCGATTCTAGATGACCACCGCCATCCTTGCAGCAATTCACACTTTGCAAAGCAATTGAAACCACGTGAACTCTTATTTCTCACAACAACCCTGGTACAATAAGGAGAAGTAGGACGAGTGTTATAATTATCACATTTTACAGGTGGGCTAAAGCAGACTGTAGAAGTTTAGAGGACTGGCCTAAGATCATCTGCCAAGCAGGTGGTGGCACTGGGACAATTCCAACCCCTATTTTCTACCCCAGACCCCATCTGGGTTCCTTTATAGAATAGGGGTGCACGTTTTCCCTTCCTGTGGGTTATTGGTGGTTAGAACGTCTGGAAAGAACTTCCTGGCTGGGAGTTGGATCTTTGCTTAGGAACAGTTTAGCCCCCATTAACAAACAATAATCATTCCTGACATTTATGTAACATCTGACATTTATATAGTACCTCTCATCCCAATGTATCACAGCCGTGACTATGCACTTTGCCAGAGGATCATGACTGGACTGGCTAGAAATTATAATGCTTCGCCTGGATTGTCACATATATCTGAGCTGTTTTTAACATATTAAATAGAAGATCTTTCTATTTCCTTTCTGTACTTAAGTTTAAGTGACCCCCCCTTCCCCTTTAGTGGTCCTTGAAACCACAGGAACTGATGGCTGTTTGTTCCTCACGGCCTTACTCAGAATTCCTCCATGAGTTTCCTTTTTCTTTTCCACATGTAGCCCTGAAGGAACAGCAAAAGAACGGCTCCAGTCCTAACCTGAATCTTAACCAATAAAACTTTAAATATGACAGCTCCATTACCTGAGTTATGGAAGGAAGCAATAGCCCACTCAAGAATAGCTTCCTACCCACATTCTGACTCAATTACCAGCACAGCCTTTCCCACCTAAAGCAGGTATCCACCTCTTTCTCTCTC